TTGCAAAACTCCTCAAATTCGAGTAAAGACTCAAGTCGAAAAACTGTTCAAAGTCGAGAAAAGACTTTAAGTCGCAAAGCTTTTCAAATTTGAGCCAAACTTCAAGTTGCAAAGCTCTTCAAAATTGAGCAAGTCTTCAAGTTGTGAAGCATTTCGAAACATAAGCTAAATCTTCAAATTATTACGCTACTGCCACGATCCTAAACTACATGTCTTTAAGCTCTTCAAATTTGAGCAAAATCTTCAGGTTGCAAAGCTACTCAAAATACGAGCTTAAATTGCAAATCGCTACGCTCCTTGGCGCACGAGCCTAAACTGCATATTCTTACACTCCTGGCTCGCATGAGTCTAAACTGTGTACGGCCCACCAAAAACAAACAAAAAAGGGTCCGCTAGGTTGAAAATCTCGAAAGAGGAAGCCTAGGCAAAAGTTAGGACATAAAAAAAATCACCTATTCTGAACTACGGTATGACCTGATCCTCTTAACCGAGGGGCAAGCCACCATAGCAAATTGGCATCTCCGATGGATGGATGTAGACTTTTAATAGAATGCCAAATCTTCAATTTGAAGTCCTCAAGTTCATCAGTCCTCAAGATGAATTATATAGCCCTCCAAATCTTCAAGTATGTCGCTCTTCAGGTTAAATTTTGCAAGTCCACCTCCCTTCAAGTTGAAGCCTGCAAGTCCGTCAGTCTTCAAGTTTGTCGGTGATCAAGTTGAAGTGCTCGAATTAGCCGCTCTTCAAGTTGAATTATTTAAGTCCTACAAGTCTTAAAGCTGAAGTCTTCAAGTATGCTAATTTTTCAAGTTGATGTTTAAAGTCTACTGCTCTTCAAGTTAAAGCATCAAAGTCCACCAAATTTTCAAGTCCGTCAAATCTTCAAATTTGTTGGTCTTCAAGTTGAAATCTGTAAAGTCCGCTAAGTCTTCAAGTTGAAGTTTTCTAATTTGCCAATCTTAAGGTGGACATGTTAGTCCCTTTGCACCTTAAGTTGGTCTCTTCGCAGGTTTGTTCTTAAAAGGAACTATAATTTTTCAATCTTAAGGTGGACGTTGACGTCTCTTTGCACCTTAAGTTGACCTCATCGTAGGTTTGTCCTTAAAAGAACTATAATTTTCCAATCTTAAGGTGGACGTTTAGTCCCTTTGCACCTTAAGTTGGCCCCTTCATGGATTTGATCCTTCTATATGTTGTCATGGATTTGATACTTCTATATACTGTTGAGAATTTGTCCTTCTATTTTTTGCCACGAATTTTCCTTCTATGTGCATCTAACTTTGTTGATGAAGATATTTCCATTGCCTACGACAACAGAAAAAAAAGGCACCAAAAAAAAAAGGAAGAAGGAAAATGACGAGCATTACCTGAGAAGAGCCTCGAGACTGCCTTTGGTTATAAACTATGACGCGAAAAATAGATGTTGCTCAGTGTTTGTATTTATAGGCGTGGATTCAATAGACACCCTACGAGTTGATCTCCTTAAAATAAGGAATTAAGTTCATCAGACTGGACGCTGTTGAGAGAATTACAGTCCGATTGAAACTCAAAGACTCTAGAATCTATCTTTACGAGTCCATTCAAATTCAAATTCCATGGAATTAGGCATCAATTTGGAAGATAGTTACGTGGAATTGGATGTCTGAATAAGATGAGTTCAACTCTGTTTCTTAGTCTTCTAGAAATTGAGTTCAAAAATAACTAAAATTATGAGATAGTAAGATACCTTCACGTGGGCCAAATATGTATTGACTTTAATTGAGGCTTTGAATCTTGAAATAAGACTATTAATCCTTTGATTTTATAATCAATCAAACTCTCTGAGAGCAATTGCAAGAAGACAATTAAAATTCTTTTGTCTTACTTCAAGGCTAATCTTTGAGAATTAACAAGTTTTTTTATACCCCGATAAGCCTTGAAGTAGGGGGCATTTGTAAGCATTTAAATTTTATCGGATTTAAATTCATAAAATAACTTGGACCACGTTAAATTCAAGACACTAGTCCAAACAAATATTGTGGCTAGTAAAATTGGTTATTTATTTAAATTCATATATATGTGTTGGGCTAGTCCATTCAATTGGACTACAAATTAAATGATAAGGCAACTTCATTAGGCCCAATATGCCATCTTCCTAGAGGCCCAGTTGGGTGCCACATGTCAAATGACGTGGCACGCCAAGTCAAACAGAAGATCTAATGGGATCATGCCACGTGTCAAAATGACCAGTCATGCCAAGTCACATTAAAAGGGTAATGAAATCGCGCCATGTGTGCAAGTGATATGTTCTGGCCAATCAAATGCGGCCTTGTCACACTTCGATTTGATTGGTCGGAAAGAGTTTGTTCTCATCACAATTCTTTCCTACTACAACTATAAATAGAGGTGTTCATAACCTAGAAAAGGGACCGGAAGTTATAACAAGAAGCAAGAGAGAGCTCGTGGATCAAACACCGCAAATTTCTCCACAAGTTTCAAGCTTCAAGCAATCAAGTTCAAGCTCAAGAACGAGGAACAAATCAAGTTCAAGCTCAAGAACGAAGAACAAATCAAGTTCAAGTTCAAGCAATCAAGCTCAAGCTCAAGAACAAGATCATCGTTCGTGGCAACAAACATAGATTCAAGATCAAGCTCCAAGGCCCTTGAATTTATTTACTATTGAAAATAAGAATCAGAGGATTCATAGAGATTGTACACTCAAATATTCAAAATCAAATACTACGATTGCTGCGATATTTTTGGTCTTGATTTTATTTTCTCGTCCGCAAATTTATTGTCTACAGATGACAAACAACACAATCTATCCTAACAATCTATTTATCAAACGATACAGTATAATATAGTACAGTACGATACGATACATTATGAAACAATACGTAACAACCATCCAAATAAATTGTAAGTCCGTATTACCATAGCCCTTTCCTGCCATCTTTCAACACTTGCATTCAAATCAGATCTATCACATTTCCAAGTAAAAATTGTACGGGCCGCCTTATTTGGTCGCCCTCATTTAATTTATACCCATATTTTTTAAATTCTTTAATCTATACCCTAATTTTGACAACTTCAGCCTCCTCTTCTTCCTCTTGACCTATGCACTCCTTTCTTCTTCCTCCTAACCTATGTGTTTACCGTGAAAATGGTAACAACAATTAAATTTGTAAATGAGATTCTAAAAACACGTGATCTATTCCCGAGCTAGTTGTTTAGAGCAGTTGATGCTGAGTTTGTGAAGTTTAGTGATGAAATGCAAGCTAAAAACGGGACGATAACCAAACCTAAAAGCTTACTTTCCGGACTCGTTTTACCAAGAGATACAGGCTAAAACAAGGAGTTGAACGAACCGAGAAACCTGCTTACCGGGTGTAGGGTTGGTCAATGTCTGGGTCGAGCTCGAGCTATCGGGGGCGATCGGAAATGGGATAACAGTTTAAGATACGATAAAGTAAGGCTCTTTATAGCCAATACCTAGCAATATAATGGAGAACAAGTAAGAAAGCGATAAATATCAGAGTGACCTCGGGCCAATGAGAGCAAGTGAGTTAGAGAGAAGGATGTTATTGCACTTAAGTAGAATAGTTGGAGCTCTGCTTTACAGGGTGTTAACGGCTCCCCTTTTATAGAGAAGGGGAGCCTAAACTCAGTACAAGATACGTTGCGTGATCAAAGAAATGAGATGGGACAACCGGCTAGCTTTATGACGCACGCGTGGGCCGATGCCGAGCTGCTCGAATAGACTTGATCGATCCCGGATGCATTCCTCGGGAGACTCCTACGTTCGTCGGGACTTCGGTCGGCATTATCTTTGGCAAGGCATCGACCGATCTCTAGGGGAAGTGGCTGGCTCGAGATCCCAGGCTTCCGGGGTCACCCTCCGAAGCATTTTGTCAAGGAGAAATCGGCCCCCCAGATTTCACCGCACACACTATGCGCTCATTTCTTCCTCCTCTTCTTTTCCTTTTCTTCTTTTCTCTCTCAAACACATGACACTCGCATTACATGGAACATAAGCATTCTGAAGATGATTTCTCTTAGTACAGCAAATACAAAACGAACCTATAAATCAAAAAAATATCGTTATTGTAGCAATAGCACCAAAAATCAAAACTCTGCCTTGGGAAATAATAGTATGAATAAAAACATATTTCCAAGGTCTTTATTCTGGACATTATATACTTGAACAAAATACGGACATGTAATTATGTTATGCTTGATTTACCAGTTCACAATAGAAAGACTATATATACAAGATAAGAATGTATATGCAAGATGAAAATATAAGGTGGGGTGACTGATCAATGATTGTCACTTTTTCACACAACGTGCTTAATAATCCCTTGATAGATCAGGATTTGGTCGTCATGGGATGATGAAGGAATCAAATCATAAACTCCAGCTCCTATAATGCTGAAGTTCAGCAAATAGAAAACACTCCCAGTATGCTTAAGTTCAGCAATTACAAAACAAACTTCAGCTCCTACAATGCTGAAGTCAGCAATTACAAAACAAACTTCAGCTCCTAGAATGCTGAAGTTCAGCAATTACAAAACTAAACATGGTGTAGTTTTATTGAACTGAAATTTGCCATTGCACTATGAAACAGAAGTTTGCGTGATTGCCTTTGCAAGTCAGACCAAACTTCAGAAAAAATATCTGAAATTTTGCTTTGATAAAGCTACACTTCAATCAAAAAATTCTGAAGTTCAAACTTCAGACATAAATTTTTGCTACTTCAGGCCCGTATGTCTGAAGTTACCCGAAAAGTAGGTACGCTTGCAATTTTTTGTGCAAAACGGGTATAAATTAAAAGGTGACCCAAGAAATGGGCATAGATGCAAATCCCCCATTTCCAAGCTTCTTGGGCATACTCCAATTATTCATTCGTCCATCTTCAGCTTGTCCACACAATGACGCTACGCTGAATTCGAAAAACATTTTAAGGAGAATTTTTAGAGGATTCCAAATGAATTGTAAAAGAACATCGGGACTTGGGAGTGGGATTTAAATAGCTTCGCAAGTCTATCATTAGAAATAAAATAAAAATAAATAAACCAATTAATTTGAAAGAAAAAAAAAGAATAAACCAGTAAATATGGTTCAATTGTAATTCCATATTATAGCCTATTCCAGATTTTCAAAAGGCAGCCAATCAGCTTTCCAGGTGTAGGCATGGAAGAAAAATACTCATTCTCCAGCAGCAGAAACCATCCCCATATCTCCTTTTCATTTGCTTCCATTTCATGGCGAAACCTACTATAGATGTGAGTTTTGTAACTCGTCCTCTTTCCTATCATCGAAGCAATCAGAGTTCCAAGTATATTTACACAAGAAAGTAGTATGATAAAAGCGAGCTGTAATGAACCTGCTCAAGTCAATTCTGTCACCACTAATCTTGTCAACCCTTTTGACTGTTTCAATTGAAATACGTTATAAACTTTAAACAAGAGAGCTCAATTATCAACCCATTTTGAATGCCAAAAACATGCATCAAGCTCAACCGTGCCAATGCAAATACAAAGTGTAGGCTCAAGAGCAGCTGAAATAATTAGGTCATTGATAAGCAAAAAATACATCTGAGAAAGAGAAAAAGGAGCTACTGGACACAACAGTGTCATTCTGTGAGTAACAACTTTCTTCCTACATGTTTCCTCCAGCGGAATAACTGACATGGACTTTGAATGAAATAAAGGATAAGATAGATACCTGGAATAACCATCAGAAGGCACTCTCTGGTAACTCATAGATCAAGAATATAAGGAGTTTAAAAACGGATTGGACTCGACTCTACATCAGAAATAATATAATCCATGATTTAAGAATCACTTTGAATGTGTATATATCACCACACGCAGTGTTCTAAAGAATCGCACATAGCGCAACCCATAAAACATATATAAAGAACCTACAGGAGCATTAATTGCAGAGAGAGAGAGAGAGAGAGATGTGCTTGAAATTATAACAATCACTTTGATTTTGTACAAATGTGCTTGAAATTAATGGATTCACATTTCATTTTGTTAGATAAGTGAATGCCCACGGTGAGTCATTACACGAGAGATATCATTCTCACATTTTTCTCGGAAACAATGACTCCTCGTCCACGTTTATGTGCAAACAAAGGACAGTCAGGGAAATAGTGACAAAGGTCGAGCAGAAGCAGCAGCACAAAGTTACCTCGCTCGCTTTCTGAAATAGAAGTTTATGTTAACTTCACATATAAAGCTCAGCAAATATGAAAAAGCCCTCCATAAACTGAAAATGAGTTAAAGTTTCTAACAAGAATACTCTTTCATAGTATTTATATAGTAATGGTATGTCATTAGTGATATAGAAAGAGAAAAAAGATTATCATGATTGGAAAAGGTTTAGCCGGAAAGTAAAATTTCTACCAGAGATATGATTACAAAAAATGTAAATACCTTCGATTCACTTAATTCAAAGTTGCTTTTGCTAGATTTCTGTATAATATACTGTACAAACTTGTTAATGTAAAGGTCATGTGTTGACATACTACTTTTATGGCTCCTATAATTAGTTGTTTCCAAAGGCATTCACTTTTTATTTCTAACCAAACCTCTATAAGCCCCTTTTGCCAGCAAAGAAGCATGACATTATTAACTCATTTCTAGTTCTTTACTTTCCATCTCAAAGTCCATACTTCACAAAAAATACTAAGAACAGCTGAGAAACAAATTGACAGCACTTGAATTTTGTGAGATATAAGAAAAAATATCACTTGAGTTATTATAGTAACGAGAGCTTTTACTTCTCAGCTCGGCAAGTACTCCTTCCAAACAGTGATGAGGAAGCATAAAATGTACGAGTTAAAAGTCTACCTTGGGAATGAAAAAAAGATATTATTGTTCCTATAAGGGGATTCCTACCTTCTCCTTCCCACTACGCTAAATAACTTGGCCCAGTATTTATGCCGAAATTAGGTTATAATTGATACAAGGCTTTTGAAACTCCATTTGTCGCAACAATTTGTCTCCGCCTTTTCAAGGAGGGATCATCTTGGCAGTACAGGCAGTTATGATCGCCCATTGCTGCTCGGTAGTGGCCTAAGGTTCAATGATTTATTTTCTGTGCTAAGGCTAGCATCTCATCTCATCTTTCATCTTATTGCTTTGAGCTCTCTTCCGGAAAGTGTAGAGTGTAACCTGCTGCCCCTTGATTTCACATAAAAAACTGAGTATCTTCTGCTCCTAAAAATGATATAATTGATTCGACTGGATGCTCCTCTTGTTTTCATCGTTGCGTGCTCTATTACTGCTTTCTTAGATAGATATTGGTGTGGCAGCTTCAGTCTTTGCGACCTTTCCCGTTAGTAAGATAGTAGAGGATCGAGAAAGCAAATCTTAAAAGGGGAAAGTGCTCTACCTACCCTCTCTTGTTTCAGGTACTCCACTCATTCTTAAAGCATATAGCTCTAGTAGTCCTTTCTGCCTATTACACTCCTTTGCTCAAGTGATCGCTTCGTATACTATACTTCTTATCCAGCGTAGTGAACTCGTTTATTCCACTCGCTCCCTAACTCTAAGAGCAACTCCTCTGTTTAGAATTGTTGAAGAAATTGCTAACTCTCACTTGAATTCTGTGAGATATAAGAACAAACATCACTTGAGTTATGCGACACAAAAGAACAAAAGAGACGCTGAGAACTGTTACCCACCTCCTTGAAAACTCCAATGGCGCAGCTGGACCCTACCAGAATAAACGAAATATAGAGGGACTTCACTAATTCTCATAACAGAATATCCAAAATCATAAAATATCAATTAACTAAATAGGCATTAAAGAAGAGAAGACCCCAAAGCTAATTTCATTAAATTTCTAAAATTAAAATAATAAAAAAATTACTTACCATCTAATAATCTACAATATTATTTTCTTTTTCTCTCATACCAAGATGATCCAATGTGTACACAATCAGAAATCACATAATCAACCCATTTATGCTGGCATCCAAGATATCATCTTTAACCAAATAATCTGATCATTCAATTAAGGTGTACACTAACTAAGTCGGAAGTTACGAGTTGGTCGCTGAATTAGTCCAGTAACACAACAGTTTAGTTAGGGAGCCAGAGAAGGTACCATAATAAGTCTAAATAGTTAACATAGTAATAAATAACGCTATAGATCAGAAATTAAGTGATTAAGAAGAGTAAAAACACAAAATTTCCAGCGCGCTATAAAGAAAGTAAGAATCATCTTTGTCAATATACCATCAAAGCATGTCTTAAGCAGATGACTTAGGAGATCACATGCTTAGTCAATTCTCCAATCCAAAATCTAAGCTTAACTTGGAAGCTAAAGAGCTACTTAACTCTTTTCCATAAAGGAAAAACATAGCATTCATCTCAAGGTCATTCTACGACTAACCAGATTGCAATTTTAATTTGACAATTAAAACATAGAATTCACATACAGAAAGAATTTACCAAGTAACTAAAGAATTAAGCATCAAAAGCAGCCAATTTCACAAATTTGAACACACCTCACATCAATCATTACATAGTTCGGCTTGAATATATTGATTGGCTAATGACACCAAGTGGTGGCACTGATTTACCAGAATCAATAATGGTGGCTTCATCTAAAGCTTGTTCAGGCACTATGCATCCTTGTTCTCAGCATCCACACTTGCTCCATGTCTAATTGAAAATAGAGCTACCTGTCAAGTAAAAGTCAAATCTAAAAGTGCCTTATATCCGCTCTGAAATGTAACAAATTTACTGACATGTTTTTTGTTTAATACAGAAAGCACCAATGGAAAAGGTCAATGACAGAAAGTAAGGGCGTACTATCAGCAACATATTGTTAGTTGCAACAATGAACCTATGAAAACTTATATACCTGTGATTCTCTATTGTACCGGTCCATGAATATGTCATCTCCACCAATAAAAGTTAGGCTGGGATGGTGCTGCACAAATGGAGACTTCCGGTTACTATTCTGAATAAAATATTTCGCCAAACAAGCGCTACTCATCGAATTAAGCTTTAACTTCATGATAAATCTAGAGTACAATAACATTGGAAGCACGGTCAAATTGTGGACATATCTACTTGGATCATCAAATTACTTTTAATTGATGAACTGACAGAAAATAGTTGAATACTATAAAGGAAATAGATAACAAGAAAAGGAAAATACTTCTCTTGGTAACAATAATAAGGGAACACGCTTTCGGAGCAACAATCACATAGTTTAAGTCCCTATCAATAACCATGAACATAAATCCATACAAAATAAACAAAAAACCATACAAAATCCATACAAAATAAGCACCAACAAAAAAGTGCCAGATGCAACAAGGACCATAAGCATAATTTAAATGAATTTCAACAAATAACAACATCCATTTCAAATTGTTTTAAACAAAGTTGCTCTAACATGGCAGTTTAGGACCATATTAAACAAAAATCCATACAAAATAAGCACCGACAAAAAAGTACAAGATGCAACAAGGACCATAAGCATAATTTAAATGAATTTCAACAAATAACAACATCCATTTCAAATTGTTTTAAACTAAGTTGCTCTAACGTGTCGACACGACACTAGTATGGGTGTGGGATCCGTACCGGATCTATTAGTGTGTCAAAATTATATCACGCGTACATGTACATAATTCATAACACTTAATATTTTGAGCTTGTATTGCCCAAAATTGCGCGAGCACATACCTTGATTTAATTTTGGAAATCACAATTATGTCACGTGAACATATATAAATCAAGATAGTTGATTGAGTTAAAAACGTGCCTAAAGTATACCAGCGATTTGAGATTATCTGGATAGTTCAAACAGTATGGAAGAATTCATTGTGGTTCAATTATTTAAGCTAAAATGGAGTTGTTAATTAACTTCTAAGTCATCTCATCTTTATACGTAAGGCTGCAGGGTAACTTGTTAAAGTCTGGGCTTGTTTACATATTGGTAATGTTTAAAAGCTACTCAACTTCAAGAAAAGGCAGTTAAATAGTGATGAAGGGAAATTAGTCAAGGCAATTAAGAGGCATCTAACAACAACTTAACGCATCAATTTGAGTTGATCAAATAAGATAGGCGAACGGACTCAAGTGAGAAGCCCAACTCTGCATCACTGGACGACACCCTGGGATTTTCATATCCCTCGCAACTCCAGGCCCAAAAGTCAGGCCCAATCAAAACAAGATCAGAAGTCCATTACAATTATGGCAACCACCTCCAGAAATAACGATTATTCTGAAACTGCCATGCTATCTTTAATCTCATACTTTCAAGCACAATAAGAACAGATCTCGATCATGACAAACATCATTTTGTTACCTTATTCACATTAAGAAATCAAATCAACTAAATCCAATGTTCATGATAGTGTTTGATTCAATTATACAAATGCATTCTTCATAAAAATACACTATTATTCTAAACTAACAGCTCAATCTAAGCGTGAGATATTTAAAATTCAACTTAGATATGATGAACTATCACGACCTTGAATGACTTTGAAACTCATTTGTCATGTTTTGAACTTACAGATCTGGCCAATTTACAATCAGATCCATGAACTGCAACCAAATACTCAATCACAGGAGTCCTTCTCCATCCTTAATTACTATGATAATCACTTGGCAACACAGAATATCATGAGTGCATTTAAATCTGAATTTAAATTCAATCAGACCATGACATAACGGGATCAACTACAGGAAACTAACAAACTTAACAAACAGAGCATATGATGTCACAATCCTCTTTAGTCCATTTATGGAATACTTCATCAAATAATGAGAGCAATCAACATATATTGTTATGCTAGCATGAGGATGCACAAATCTGACAGAAGAATCATATAAAATGAGCAATGAAGTCACGACTTATCTAAAGTTCAATTTCCTCTTAACTTAAACAGAATGAGTTCATGAACATGTACCTAATATTTAGAAGAGCATTGGAGCCGCCAAAGGAAGGCAAATGAGAAGAATACGAGGTTCAGCTATGCATGTGACAACAGAATCAATAGCCTTTGAGCAGCACAGAACTCAGAAACCCAGGGAAGAGTAATATCAAAGCAGAAACAGCTTCAAACAACTCTCTCTGTTTTTTATTCTTCTATTTTGTTTTGAGATTTTTGTATTTCAGATCTGAAATCTCATTTTTGAATTTCAGAACTTGTTTTCAGCTCCTTTTAGAGTGAGATGTTCGTTTGTAAGAGTGAGTGAATGAAGGTGAGGGTGAATGTGTCTAGAATGTGTGAGGGAGTGTACTGTTATATAGAATTTCAGAGATTCTTTTCAGTTATTTTCTTTCTCTTTACTCCCTCTCTTTTTTGTACCTCTAACGGTACCTTAATATCCGACCCCTGTTAATCTTCTATTTGCCAAACAGCCCTTTCTATTCCTTTCTAGAAACAAAACACCCGATTGGGCCTGGGCTAAGTGAACCTGGCCATATGGCCCAAGACAAAGCAGGCCTGACTTCAAAGAAGCCCATACGAGAAACCAGAACAAAAATGCAACAATCTGTATCTTAAAGCAATAAAGGGATTTAACAAAATGCAATCAAAAACTGACTAAACATACTTTCAATTAAGCTTAAACAAAAAAAATCTGTTAATTAACCGATTTTAATATGTGATCAAAGTTGAAACTCAATTATCAATCCGAAATTTAAACAATTAAAAGAAAAGAAAGAAGAAGAGAAGAAAGGGATTACCTATTAAGACAAACGGCTTCTAGGACATAGGAACATTAAGCTTCCGGCCGGTCAACGGCGACTTGACCGGATTCCAGTGATCTCGGAATGAACCAAAACCAACATCAATCGATTGATCTTGACAATAGCAATCGATCAACGTAGGTTTCGAGTCAGAACGAGTTGTCTTTGAGAAGGAATCAATAAAAAACAGATTAGGGTTTTTTTTTTTTGAATTTTAGATATACTATTGGACGATTTCTAGTGAGTTTCAAAGGCAAAGGTTAAAAGATTAGGAATGAGGAAGAAGAGGGTAGTGTAGAGTCGTACATTGAGTAGATTTGGTGACGGGCCGCCGCCATGGGCGATTTACGGCGGCGGCTGAGGTGGACGGTGAGAGAGACGAGAAGAGGAAATGGGGGGTTAGGGTTTGACTAATTTCGGACAGTTTTATTTAATAGGGGAGTGGAGTTCTCGTCCGTTTGATCAAGGAAGAAGAACGGTTGAGATCGTTTGACTCCCAAACGGCGTCGTTTTGGATATTAGCGGGGCTGGATCGGGTATTTGGAGTTGGCCTGGGCGGGGACGGATCTTAAGGCCATTGGGCCGCTCTATTTGTGGCCCAATTTGGTCATAACATGAGCAGCCTCCTTTCCCATTCTAATTTTCAAAACTAAACAAATAATTTGCTATTCTAATTTTTACTAATTTTGTAAAACCAAATTAATTATTTGTTTTAACTACTGATTAGTTTATTAATTAATTAAACACTACCAATTAAAAAGATGAACTAATCAATTAAACATAAAGGGGCTAAAATGTACAAAAGGACTAATGTATTATTTTCTACATTTTTTGTGATTTTTATATTTAAAGATGCAACTATATACAATTAAAAGCTAATAACACAATAAAACCTAAAATTCAAAGAGTGAAAAATAAAACAAACATTTGGCGATTTTATGTTTTAAAGCAGTCATGAATATGTGTAACAAATGCAAATAAATGCAAAACAAACTCAATAAAAAAATAGAGAAAAGTTCCTAAAATTCTACAAAATTAAACACTATTTTGAACCATTTTAGGAGTAGTTTTGCGTTGAGCAAATAACATGCTCACAAACATCCCTTAGTTGCAGCTTTGGATCTTTCTAAGAAAAAAAACAACTGAACAGATAATAAATAAATAACACAAAAGATAAAAGAATACAGACCAAGCAGATGACTTATGAAAAGCACCTTATGAGGAGCTAAGAGATTTGACAGGTCAATGTTTGTGTATAGCAACAACAAAACTTGACTACCCTAATAGAAGAAAAGAATGTAGAGCCAATAATAATGAACTAGTGAAATCAAGTACTCCAGTTGTTCAGCTATTATGGAAGGTACAAGCCTAGAATTGAAGCACAGATATTTAAAATAGCAATGTCCCCTTCTTATTTTCCTTTTTTTTTTTTTTGCGGGGGTGAGGGGTTGGGGGGTACAAAGAATCATAATTATAATTTTGACCTCTTTAATTTCTCAACGGGGTAACTAATTTGTAGAAGTAAGAGTGTACAATTTAGTAACATTACAGATTTATAGCACACGATCTAAGTAAAATAGGAAAGATAATCGATCTGATATGCTTCAACTTACGTACCATTAGATTTGATAGTACTCTAGGGTTGGCAGTTGGGCTAGGGCAGGCAGGGCAAGCTTTGGCCTGCTAAGCTTTTTTTTGCTTCTTCAAATAATTGATACATGTGTACATGTTTTGCCGTTGGGGCTCGACTATTCTATATCGGCACGGTTCATCTGACCGTTTGGCCCATTACAAAGTTTTCCTATCGAGGCCCTCTTAGGTGTGAAGTATTTTCCTTAAAATATAACCTCCGAGGGTGATGTCCCCCAGTATTCGAGGTTGATTGAAAAGAAGCCTTGGATACTATTGAGTTCTTCTTAGGTAGCACGTAGTTGTTGTCTCGTTAAAAACCTTGCCGGTAAAACCCATTTGGGACAAAATCCGGTCTAACAGAAAAGGAGTGCAACGCATGCTTTAAGACCTAAGGTCTTCGTGTAAATGATGATGCCTTCGAGACCGTATGCCTTCGATAGTTTTGATAGGAAATCTGTAATGAGATAGTTTTAAACCCAAATGGTCAAAAGGATAAAAACATACCTCAGCACTAGTATCGTTTGAGTAGTTTGGCAGTTGTTCCCCTTTTATCGTGCTGAGTTTATAAGATCCTTTATCAACAATTTTGAGGACTCAATACGGCCCTTCCCAGTTCGGGCTTGGTTTTCCTTCATTCGGGACTCGAGTATTAAGGGTGGCCTTTCGTAGAACTAAGTCCCCGACTCCGAAATGTCGGAGGTTGGTCCTTCTATTGTAATATCTTTCGATCCTTTGTTTTTGCGCGACCATTCGAACAAGTGTTGCTTCTCTTTTTTCATCTGCTTTTGGGGTTTGAAGCAAAAGCGGGATTGACAGACATCGCTTTATCTCTTCTAAGGCTTGCTGACATTCCCGGGTCCATGCGAAGTCCTTTTTCTTTTTGAGCAAAGAGAAGAACCGATGACTCCGATCCAATGACCTCGAAATGAATCGACCCAAGGCAGATTTTTTCCCTGTTTGCACGACTTACATACTATCCACGATCGTGATATCCTCGATAGCCTTGACCTTATTGGGGTTGATTTCGATACCCCGATTTGACACCATGAAGCCAAGGGACTTACCCGAGCCAAATCCGAAGGCACATTTCTCTGAGTTAAGCTTCATGTTAAATTTCCTCAAGATTACAAGTGTTTCCTGCAAATGAACTAAATGGTCCTCTACGCACAAGGACTTGACCAACATATCATCATTATAAACTTCCATTATTTTGCCTATTTGTTCTTCGAACATTTTGTTAACTAGGCGTTGGTATGTAGCTCCTGCATTTTTCTAGCCCGAAGGGCATTACGTTGTAACAATAAGTTCCAAATTTAGTAATAAACGAAGTCTTTTCCCGATCCTCTTGGTTCATCTGAATCTGATTGTACCTGGAGTAGGCATCGAGAAAAGTTAGGGTCTCGTGGCCAGTCGTGGCATCGATCATTCGATTGATGCTTGGCAAGGGGAAAAAATCTGTTGGACATGCTTTGTTCAAGTCCTTATAATATATGCACATTCTAAGTTTGTTTCCTTTTTAATAACTACAACTACGTTGGCTAACTACTCGGGGTACTTTACCTCCCGAACAGATCCTATTTTAAGAAGTTTTGTTACCTCGTCTTTTATGAAAGCATGTTTTACCTCGGACTGAGGCCTCCTTTTTTTATTTCACCGGTTTGGGCTTGGGACCGGTGCTTAACCGATGTGTGGTGATTTCCGATGGAATCCCTTTCATATCTTTCTCTTGGGCATAAAAATGACCTGCTCTAACTCCTCGATAGTAGATTTGGTTGCGACAAAGGCTCGAGGAGTAAGGTAATCCTCATCTTCGTCTTCGATTGCTTGTTGCTCCAACTCCATCTTGGCTGGAGGCGGTGATAGCTATTTGGCCGCATGTTTGCTTTTGGCACTCGATTTCTTCGAGGTCAAAGGTTCTGGTATCGACACCACTTCCTCGATTGCGAACATCTCTTTTGCAGCATGTTGCTCTCCGTTGACTGTTTTTACTCCCTCCTCAATTGGGAATTTCATTATCTGGTGAAGAGTTGAAGGCACCGCCCTCATGTTGTGTATCCATGGTCTCCCGAGAAGTGCATATACCTCATGTCACCCTCGATGATATGGAATCTAGTGTCTTGTATGGTCCCGGGTACGTTCACTAGTAAGATAATCTCTCCCTTTTGTTGTTTCGCTTGCTATATTGAAGCCATTCAGGACCCGGGATGCAGGTACAATCTGATCTCATAGGCCGAGTTGTTCCACGACCCTTGATATGATTATGTTTGCTGAGCTACCTGGATCCACTAAAACACGTTTAACTTGAATTTTATTCAAAAGGATGGAGATTACCAGGGCGTCGTTGTGAGGCTGAGATATGCCTTTTGCTTCCTTGTCATAGAATGATAAGACGTCCTCAGGCACATAGCTCCGAGTCCGTTTTTCTCTGGTGATTGATACTTTGGTGCGCTTGAACACATGTCGTTGAGGGACATCGACCCCACCAATGATTATATGGATTACATGCTTCTTCTTGCTCAGTTTTCCCTGCATCCTTTTCCCCGAAGTGATTCTTAGCTCGATCACTTAGAAATTCTCAAAGGTAGCCCTCATTGAACAACCGAGCCACTTCTTCCCTTAACTGCCTGCAATCTTCTGTTCTATGACCATGTGTGCCATGATACTTGCACATCAAGTTCGAGTTCCTTTGAGAAGGATCGGTCTGTATTGGCCTGGGCCACTGGGTGTCTTTTATTCTCCCAATAGCTGAGACAATCCCTGATGCATTTATGCTGAAGTTGTACTGTGATAGTTGGGGAGCCTCGGCGGGGTCGGTTTTCTTATCGAACCCACTTTTACTCATAAGTCCCCGAGAACTTTGGCCTCGACCGTTTCTCTAATTGCTTCGAGGAGTGTTATGGCTCGGATCGCTGTTTCTTCGATCGGCGTATGGCTGATACCGTTCTTTATTGGATCTTGATTCCCAGTCTGTGTCCCTCGGGGGCTTGGCTGCGAATCTGTTAGGATGAACTGAACCTGAAGGGGCTCCTAACTGGTCGTCCTCGACTTTGATTTTTGATTGGTAATGATTGTGCACATCCGACCATGTCACAGCTGGATATTCGATCAAGTTTTGCTTTAATTATTGAGATGCAATCGAGCTCCTTTCATTCAAACCCTGCATGAAAGCTTGTACTATCCAATCATCCGAGACCGGTGGTAACTCCATTTGCTCCATCTGGAACCTAGATACGAACTCCCTTATCATCTCGTCGTTCCTTTTCTTTATTTTGAAGACGTCCGATTTTCTCGTGGCCACCTTTATGGCCCCGGCATGCGCTTTCACGAAGGCATATGCTAATATAGCAAATGAATCAATAGAATTAGGAGCTAAGTTATGATACTAAGTCATGGTTACCTTTGATAGTGTTTCCCAAAAATATTTCAACAAAACTGACTCGATTTCATCGTCATTCAAGTCATTGCCTTTGATCCCACAAGTGTATGAGGTAATATGCTCGCTAGGGTCGGTTGTCCCGTTATATTTAGGTATATCGGGCATGTGAAACTTCTTGGGAATGGGCATCGGAGCCACACTCGCGGGGAATGATTTTTATATGAACTTTTTGGCGTCTAGACTTTTCAAAATGGGAGGTGCCCCATGTATCTGGTCCACCCGGGAGTTATAAGTTTCCACCTTCTTATCATTGTCTTCAATTTTCTTTTCTCCGGATTCGATCCTCTTGGTTAGTTCCTCGAGCATTCTCATAATCGTCGGGTCAGT